CCGGAGTGAACATCAACTATGGGATCCAGATACATCCAGTGGCGAGACTATTAAAGTAATTTCATCATTTGATTCGTTTTTATATCAAGCTAACAATACACAACACTATTGCGATAGCTACAGTTCATTTAAACAAAATCAAGCATAATCTAACAATCTATTTATTCATGCTTTTGTAATGAAATATGCACTTTATAGAATACATATACTTTAATGAAAAAATTTGAGACTGTTTTCATTTGTTCATTCTGGTTTAAAAAAAGAAGACAAACGAATAGAGTAAGTATCCATTTCACTGATCGAAATCATGAGTCAGTTGAAGTCAGACCATCATGGAAAACCTGGAAGAACTGGATGGCCGTTTCGTCCTGGTATGGGACTCCTCAGCACTGCGCATACACGACCCCGTAACGTTGGGTGGCGGCCCAGTGGTCTAGTTGGTTAAGCGCCTGGCGCGAGACTGATAGGTCCTGTGTTCAAATCTCGTGAAGTGCGTATTCATAATTGCCTATAATATACTCCATTGTAAAAAATTATTCTTGCAAATAAATTACAGAATTGAGAGTTCAACAGTATTCCATTCAATTCATATTCCAAAAAGATAAAAAATGTCACACAGATCACAAGAAATTGTTACATAGGATTAATTGAAAAGTAAAGTTTCATAAAAACGTATTGTAATAACTTACAATGAAAGCAAAATTGTATCAACTGAAAAGAAAAAGGAGAAGGCATGATGATGATGCTTTGGATGATGATGATGATGATGATGATGATGATGATGTTTTGGATGATGATGATGATGATGATGATGATGATGATGATTATGCTTTGGATGATGATGATGATGATGATTTGGATGATGACGATGATGACGATGTTTTGGATGATGATGATAATGATGATGATGATGATTTGGATGATGATGATGCTTTGGATGATGATGATGCTTTGGATGATGATGATGAAGATTTGGATGATGAAGATGCTTTGGATGATGACGATGATGATGATGCTTTGGATGATGATGATGATGATGATGATGATGATGATGATGTTTTGGATGATGATGATGATGATGATTATGCTTTGGATGATGATGATAATGATGATGATGATGATGATGATGATGATGATGATGATGATGATGATGATGATAATGATGATGATGATTTGGATGATGATGATGCTTTGGATGATGATGATGATGATGATGATGATGCTTTGGATGATGATGATGATGCTTTGGATGATGATGATGATGATTTGGATGATGATGATGCTTTGGATGATGACGATGATGATGATGATGATGCTTTGGATGATGATGATAATGATGATGATGATGACGATGATGCTTTGGATGATGATGACAATGATGATGATGATGATGATGATGATGATGATGATGATCATGCTTTGGATGATGATGATGATGATGATGATAATGATGATGATGATGACGATGATGCTTTGGATGATGATGACAATGATGATGATGATGATGATGCTTTTGATGATGATGATGATGATGATGATGGTCGTGGTTGTGGTGGTGGTAGTGTTTGTGGTTGTGGTGGTTTGTAAATACAATCGAATTACAAACTGTTATGTAATGTACATATAAATTCGTACTTATAAAATAGAAAATAAATTGTTACTTCAGAGAGATATTAGCAAGAAAATCGTATTCAGAATTACCTTCCTGTTGCATCGCGCCCTCAATAAAGGCTATTCTTTCCGTTTGAGGCATCACTTAAACATTAAATTATTGATAACGAACCGTAAATCAATTTTAACTTACATTCAAGTACCTCTATTTTTTGACGTTCAATTTGTCTTAACAGCTTGTAATGTATCACTACAAAAAATAAAATTTCTGAAATATAATTCTCGATTGATATTATGAGTGGAAATAATGTTCGACCACTATTGAAAACCTGAAAGCACTGGATATTTGTTTCCTCCTAGTATATAACTCATGAGCGGTGTACATCCACAAATCATCACGCATGAAACCGAAGATCTTGGGTTCGAATCTCGTGTGCCGGATCGTGAATGCGCACTGCTCACGATTCCCATACTAGAATAAAACGGCCGTCCAGTTCTTCCAGGTTTTCAATGCCGATCTAACATTGATTCACTTATGATATTAATCTTAACTCAGCAATCTCCACAATGCACAAGAGGACGAGGAGAGATTGATAGGAAAATGTAAGAACAATACATTCTGAGACGATTGATTGACATTTCAAAAATGAAGTAATTACTGTATGATTCTCAGATTTTACTAAGATGGAGGTTTTTTCTTTGAGATGGGTAGTTTGGTTTCGGAACTTCCGTTGTTCTATTGAACAACAACATCAACACAAACTTTATGTAGTAGTGAAGTATTCTATCAAAATCATCCATATGAGCTACAAATCTTCTTTACCAATATTGACTACTATGATAATTGTCAGAAGGGGTTTGTGGAGATTTTAGAAAGTTTAACAGATTGAAATCATGAGTCAGTTGAAGCTAGACCACCATGGAAAACCTGGAAGCACTAGACGGCCGTTTCCATGGTGGTCTAGCTTCAACTGACTCATGATTTCAATCTGTGAAATTTCTAAAATCTCCACAAACCCCTTCTGATAATAATCATCTGGTCACTAGTGACTGACTTCAAGAGATACTTCTGGAGTTCTAGTGGGAAGCCGTTACCAGTGGTGTTCAACCAGGTCTGTTGTGAGATATCAGCTCACTGATAACAATGGTATACGGTGGCGCAACTTCGTGGATTACTATGATAATTATCATAACATACTTGACTTAATGTCAAGTTAAGTGGCAACCATTTAGTGGATCAATCAATATTAGAAAACATGTTTAACAAATATCATTTGTGATTTATTTAACTTACACATTTCATTGGACAATGTCATATAGTCGTTTTGATATGCCTGATGTTGGATTTCTATTTGTTTATCCCCTGTGAATCAAGATAATCATCATTAACATATCAGTAGATTATCATAATGTAAAAAGAACAAGATTGACTTTACCATGTCAGCAGTAATCTGAGTATAGAATATTTGAGCACAGATAAACTTTACGTATGAAAAAATGAAAATGCTTCAATATGAGCTTAATAAACCTTAATATTTGACTATAAGTTGACATCAATACTTGAAATCATGAATCAATTCAAACTAGACCATCATGGAAAACCTGGAAGTAGTGGGACATCTCAGCAGTGCGCATCTATTGAAATTACTAAAATCTTCACAAAACTCCTTCTTATATTACCCATCTACACACTAGTGACTGACTTCAAGAGGCATTTGATGAATTTCTAGTGAGAAGCAGTGACCAGTGGCGTTCAACCGAGTCTGTTGTGAAATATCAGCTCATTGAAGACAATGATGGATGTGTCGCTCAAATTTGTTGATTAATTGAAGTTAGATATTAACACTGCTGGATGCGGGCAAGTTCAGTGGTCTAATGGTTAAGCGCTCGCTCTTGAGAACTCGAAGTTTCTGAGTTCAATCCCTGATGAAGTCGTCGACGATATACGTTCCAGAAACATTTCCTACTAAAACAAGATTATTGTACTTCGTAGTATTCAATCATCGTTGTACTCAGTCAGTTACGTATTATTAGTTTACATGCCATGAAAAAAATAATAATAAACTCACTTTGTTTTAATTCTTCAGAGTTTGATTCGAGGAAGGCGTAATTCTCTGTTATGATAATAAAAAGTTATTTTTAAGCAAATATTGATGAAGTCTACAGGTATGTTGTTTCAATATGTTTTAACTAAATATTTCTGAGTATTTTTAATAATTGAGATCATGAGTCAATTGAAGTTAGACCATCATGGAAAATCTGGAAGCACTAGACGGTCGTTTCGTCCATGTGTAGGACTCCTCAAAAGTGCGTATCTCCGATCCCACCTCACATGATTCGAATACAGGATCTATAGTTCTCAAGCGCGAGCGCTTAACCATTAGACCACTGAACTTGCCCGCATCCAACAGTGTTAATATCTAACTTCAACTAATCAACAAATTTGAGCGACACATCCACCATTGTCTTCAATGAGCTGATATTTCACAACAGACTCGGTTGAACGCCACTGGTCACTGCTTCTCACTAGAAATTCATCAAATGCCTCTTGAAGTCAGTCACTAGTGTGTAGATGGTTAATATAAGAAGGCGTTTTGTGGAGATTTTAATAATTTCAATAGTTGAAATCATAAGTCAATTGAAGCTAAACCATTATCGAAAACTTGGAGGCACTGGACGGCCGTTTTCTGGATATCCCTATGACCTTGAAACAGATCTAACCACACGCAATTTTTAATACGATATTATGAATTATATGCTACCGAATGTGATACTTTAGATGATGTTTCACATTTCGAATATTTACTGTTAATATGATTGTAGATCACTTACAAAATGTTAAACTAATAAGAAAAAGCATTCTGTTTAACTATGATTAGAAATTGACGTTCAGGTAAGGCATGAAACTAATAGACAAGGTTGACAAGGTAATATATATATACAAATATATATTATATACATATTACATTCAAATAGCTAACCATAACATTTTGTATATGCAATAGCACTTCTGATTAAATTCATTCGCATCATTTTGATATTGGCTTGAAAATAATTTTGAAGAAAAAGAACATAGAAATGCTGATAACCAAAGATAGATAATGGCTAGCAATGGAATCCAGTTTAACGCGCGTTTCGTCCTATTTTGGACTCATCAGTTGAATGTACCTGCAGCACAGGGTTGATGTTCACTGCGGGATGTAATGACATTCGAAGCAAACAGTACTAAGTTCGAATCTCAGAGGATGAAATTATAATACGGGTGAGACTATAATTTATGGACGAGCCAATCAGAAGCGTTTGAGCAATCACAAGGTCACAGCGCCTATTTCAATACCTAATGCTCATGTACGACTGATTTACAGCGAATTTTAAAGAAGATGTTATAACTGAGCTCCTAAAACAAATGGGATTACTAGGAAGTTCCTTTATTTGTGATTACAGTAATCAAATGACTTCTTGACTTTGTGCATACTATCGTGAGGATGACGTATTTCGATGTTATATATGTTGGAGGAAAAAATTCTGCTACAACGGAAACTGTTTTCACCTGATCACGATTGAGACTAAGACCGATTATGATAATTCTTGCAAACTAGATAATAATGGTACCAACAACACTGGCTGCAACCTTTTCAGATGTTACCAAAGCTTCGGCAGTTCAATAGCATGAATATTGTCGAGATATATATGCAATAAAAATGACAAGCTAGCATGAGTCGTTTGGAAGAGTTGAGATGAAACGGTTGTTAGAAAACCGAAATTCACTAGAGATCGAAGTGTTAAAGAACACTGGGTTACTAGCATTTCCATAAATATACTTAACAGGTTCTTGGTATATACAATAAACTATCTCAGAAAGAACACTTCCAGCATGTTAGAAACCGACAATTCACAACTATAATACCAATTATACAAGAGTACGTTCAGCTGGATACCACAGTATACAGGGATGACTGGAGGGTATATCGACGTTGACACAGACTTGGTTAATTGCATCATGACATCGTCCACAAGCGGTATTTTATAAACCTCACCACCGGAGTACACACAAATAATATAGAAGCATTGTGGTCGAGACAAAAACAATTTTTACGACCTTATCATGGCTCTAGAGACCAACTATTATGGAGCTATCCGTATGAGTTCCTTTACCGTGTGCATTACGATTCCAGAATTGAAAAGCCTCTTTCTAACTTTGAAAAGTTTTTAACCCATATTAAAGAAATGTATTCACTTCAATTTTTTGGTTTTGTATGATATATTCTTACTCTGTATTGACTGTTTTTTGATTGACTCAATTTTCTCAAGGTCCTTTAAGATTCGTTCAAAGGTCGTCTATAGTTTTTAGTCTTACCGTAAATATCAGTTGTTAATCAATAAGCCAAGGGATATATATATTTTAATAGATGAGATCATGAGTCGACTGGAGCTAGACCACTATGGAAAAGCTGAAAGCACTAGACGGTCGTTTCGTCCTGGTATGGGAATTCTCAGCAGTTCGCATTCACGGTCATGCCTCGTGAGATTCGAATACAGGACCTATCTGTCTCGAGCACGACCGCTTAATCTCTAGACCACTGAACTTGCCGGCATCCAACAGTGTTAATATCTAGCTTCAACTGGTTCACGAAGTTGCGCCACCGTTCACCATTGTCTTCAGTGAATTACTATCTCACAACAGACCCAGTTGAACTCCACTGGTCACTGCTTCTCACTAGAACTCCAAGAAACACCTCTTGGAGACCGTCACCAGTGAGCATATGATTAATATCAGTAGAGGTTTTTTGGATATTACTATAATATTCACAAGATCCCTTCGGGTATATATATATATATAAACTAATTGAAATGTGATTCAGAACATACATCTTGTTCCGAAATATTGCTCTCGCAAGCCTCTCAATATGTATTTTCTTCTAGTGAGTTCTCTAGCTTCAGAAAAAAAGGAAGAAATAAAGTTTTCTTTTATCATG